CATGTTGTGTAGAGAATTAACAATAAGGAATTTCCTAATTGATTTATGAACCATGTTAGTAATGCATACTTTTAGTTTCCTTTTGAAAAATATTTGATGTTAATCAAATATCTTGTTTCTGATAAAATACATTTAAATTTTATATAGATAATGAAATTGTGTATTAAGGGAAATGAACAAATTTTGAACAATTTAAAATGGTTGGCCTGCGGCCCATACATAGCTGCAAAGAGATATAAAGGAGTTAGCATAAATGGGTTCAGGTTTCATACAAAGGAACATGAAGCGAACAGAAACACCCAAAATAGTGGCATTGTTGTGACTGCATATCTGATATCATGGTGTGCTCACCGATATCATAGAATTGAATTATTATGAGCATTTGAAATTAATGTTATTCAAATGTGACTGGGTTGATGTTGCTCAAGGCAAGGGGATGAAGGTTGACGAATTTGGATTTACTCTTGTCAACTTCAATCACCTGTTGCATACAGATGAACCATTTGTTTTAGCTTCTCAGGCAAAACATGTATTCAATGTCTAAGATCTCATTAAATCAAATTGGCATGTTGTTGTTAAGACAAAGCCTAGAGACTTATATGATATGCATGGGGATGTTGATGCGAATGAAGATGATGGTGATATACTAGATAAGCCTCATAGTGTGCAAAACTTGGCAGACAATATCTCATTAAGTGATGATGATGTTAGTTGGGATAGAACAGATGCACCCGGTATAGAGATTGAGCAAGCATATGATTCCATACAATCAATTGGAGTGGGTGAAGAAGATGAATATTATATTGAGTCCAATAATGCTAACAATAATGATGGGGACATTGACAATAATGCCATTAATTTTGAAGATAATGGTGAAGATGATTTTGACTAAAGTTAGAGTCAATCTAAATTTTATTGTATCATTGAAAAATAATTAAATAGTATTTTAGTTTATATAATGCCTTACAAATTCTAAGTATGCCGTTTTTTTCTTTGTGCATGGTCGATCAATAGTTGTTTTGATATTTAGATGTTAGAGTTATCTTTTTGGATGTGTAGTTCTGTTTCTTTTTTCTTGAGTGACCGGTGGTCAACTTCCTTTGAATTTATTTCTTTATAAACTAATCATATTGAAAATAGGTGAACATGATTTTGTGTTGGCTAACTAGAAGAAAGAGAACGAGGTCACAAGCAAGTCAACCAATACCCCAGCCAACCGCTAGACCAAGACATGAGACTGAGGATGATTCAACCCAACCCCGACACCTGACTTAGACATGCAAGAAGAATCCAATATAGGCCAACTTGCTGGAGAGTCATCTTCTACTAACACACATAGGCTTAGAGGCCCAACCATGGCATTAGATGTTTGGAACATGCCAGAAGTGCAACATATTAAGGTTGAGATAAATGAACATAACCAACCAGACGGTGAAGGAGCAAAGCAATTGGTTAAGTTTTTGGGTTCTATTGCACGAATGCCATATAAATTGCCCATAGACATTGTCAACTAGAGAAAAGTCCCAAGTGAATTAAAGAAAGACATATGGGACATCGTTGAGGTAATCAATACATTGTTTTTTTAATATTATTATTTATCTTGTGCAGACATAATGATTTGTGTTTTATTTTGGTTTTATAAAAAATTTGATGTTGATGAGCGGTTGAAAGATTTTTCTATGAAGTCATTGGGTAAGAAGTGAAAAGACTGAAAATGTGATTTGAAGACCAAGTACTTTGACCCAAATTTAGATATTGTAGAATAAATACAAATTGGCAAACGGGTTGATCCAAAGCAATGGAAAAACTTGTTTAACTTTTGGAAGTCTGAGAAAGGGATTGTAAGTCTGGTAGATATATACTAAAACAAATTTCATATTGAACATATTGAATATCTAACAAGAAGAATTGGTAATTGTGTTATTCGACATATGAAGCTTGTTGTTTTATTTATCTTTTATGTGTTAAGAATGACAATATATATAATTTTTTTGATAATAGCGAAATGAAAGAAATAAAGAAATATCACGTAGAAAGGTATTTTTTGCGACTCATATGAAGAAAGATGGGGCACCTATTGATCCACAATCTGCTGATATAATGGTAACCATATTTTAAATATCAACTCTTATAATTTATTAATGACAGGTTAAACCATTATTATTATTAACATATTAATGGGTTGTCTTTTAATGCTTTCAATTTTTATGTTCTATTTAAGGAACAAATGGAAAATTATATGTGTGTGTGTGCGTTATTATGGACTAATTTGATATTTGTGTTCATCGTTTATAAATAAGGGTTCCCAAGGAAAATCATCTCAGTTTCTAAACCACTATTCAGCTCATGCTTTTCAAAGCCCCTTTTACCATCAATTTAGTGCCAACCATAATAATGATTTACAGAATTTAAATGTAAGTGTTATTTTTTATATCATGCATTAGTTTTAAAAATAATACAAAGGCATTTGGTAATGATTGAATTGCATTTATAGGAAAACACAAAATGTTATTTGTTGATTAGCGATGTTTGCATGGGTAGCGGAAGTAACTATTATAAATACCAACCCATCAAAAACTGTGGGCAGTATCCAACTTGGTCTAGGATGGGTTGAAGTTGTGATTGACATTTCTATCATCAATGATGCACTTCTAGTACGTCCACATGGCCGTAACAGGACAATTGGAAGTGTTGTTGGTGTACCCATTGCTTGGTTTTATGGATTTGTAAGATTCTTTTACTAATCGTATCCTTTGAATCAAACATTTCAACATTAATTCTAATATCTATCTTTCTTCTATTGCAGATTGAAACAATTTCTTAATTGGTTTTGCAGTAGGAGCATGGGATGTCATTGGATCACTTTTTTTCTTTTGAATCACCTCTTATCTTACAAGAGAACAATTTGATTTTTTTATTCAATATTTAATTTAAGATGCTTATAATAAATAATTTTTATTTTTAAGTTAAATGAGTTTGTTCAAATTTTCTATCTTTCGTTTTGGTTGGTAAAGTGCCTATTGCCTTTGAATACCATATATCCTACTGATTATGAGAAAAAAAAGTTTGATATGACCTTCAATGTATAATCATGTAGAAAGGTTAAATCTTGCATCTATTGGGTCCTCTTAGACATGCTTGAGTATTACCCTAGGCGCACCTTCGGGTACTTCAAACCTTGCACTCCCTATTCCTAGTGCAATTGTTGAAGGAAGGGAGCAAAGCAAAACACCATCTCCCTTTCAACAAGGGCCAAGATCCCGCCAACTTTTGCCAAAGTCCCCAAAAGCAAGTCTGAGTGGAGTCTGGAGGCCAATAAGGACATGCTTCCACAGATATGTGTTGCAAGGCCACCTGCTGAGGAACGGGGGCGGAACCAATTGCTTCCCCGTTATTGGCCAAGAATAACAGACCAAGAAATGCAGTAGATATCTGGAGAGTGTCCATAAACATGTTAATTTACCTTTTATTTCTAATAGTTTATTGTTTGAATTTACTCTGCTTTCTAAAATAATTCATCATTGAATCCATCCACTATGATTCCCTTGACCATGCTATCTTAAGTTCAGGTTCCACCATTGTGCCATTGTTCAAGAAGGTTCTGAGTTCCAGTGATGTAGGTAGAATTGGTCATTTAGTTCTCCCAAAAGCATGTGTTGAGGTAAGATCCAAAAATGACCTTAATGCTGGTTTCTGCCATGAATTCCATACCCATAATTACCTTCTTTGTTGAGAAGAACTTGTTTAACATTAAATTGTATGTAGGTATATTTTCCCCCTATCTCTCAACCAGCAGGCCTTCCATTAAAGATTCAGGATTCTAAAGGGAAAGATTGGGTGTTTCAGTTCAGATTTTGGCCTAATAACAATTGTAGGATGTATGGCTTACAGGGTCTAACCCCTTGCGTCCAGTTTAGGAAATTACAAGCTGGTGATACTAGTAAGTTGCATTATTTATTTGGATAGTGAGATATGAACACTGTTTAGGAATTAGGTAATTTAGTTTTCAGTGCTGGTTTACATGTGCTTGGTTTGTAAACATGCTTGTAGTAGAATCCTTTTTCTTTTTGATTTGAATCCCACTTCTTGCAGTAACATTCAGCTGGATAGATCCTGAAGGAAAACTTGTGATGGGATTTCGAAAGGCATCAAATTCTGCCCCCATGCAAGTAGGAAGCTTAGATTTTTATGGGCATCTTTACTACTAACAGAATCTGACGTGAACCACAACCAAGTTTCATGCCTTTTGGTAATTGTCCACCATTGATCCTATTCAGTCTCTTAGGATCTCAGATCAATTATCACTTTTAGTGGGTTATGCATGATGTTGTGTCTGAGGCCTAAAATTTAGCGGATAATGATTTCTGGTCAGTTCTGCATTTCTACTTCTAGTTGTTTTATATCTTTCATATGTTGTTGTTGGTTTGGACATTTGATGACCATGCCTTACCAGAGTTATACAAATTATCTGGCCCATCATCCAGAGACAACCAAAGCTCATGAATCATGTTATATTATTACCATAGTACATTATTTTTTTTTTCTCTATTTTCTCAAAAGGTACCAGCTGGCTCAGCTTATTAAATCAGTGAATGTAGATGTACTTACCACTGAATTGGGATTCAATCCTATCTCCATCTTCCCCATCCCCACCCAAAAGTTTGGCTAGCAAAAGTAAAGAGAAGACAAAGTCCATAACATTATACACAGACTGTTTTGTTCCATATATTTGTCAAGCAAGGATCTTAATGTGAATATAGTTTTGAAATTAAACAAGGACCTCTTGAAGTCCTTTCTGTCCATATTGTCCAGATCACTAAAGCTGGGCCTACTCTCCAAATTACCTTGCCTTCTTTCGAAATCCCCTTCAAATTCCAAAGATCCCTCATTAATTATTTACCATATCATCACTCCACCTGGTGATCCAGGGTATATTTTTGTGATATATATGGAAATACCTTTCTCCTTGCTTCTATTATGCCATTTAGTTAGCTCTTGCATTTTAGATTAACCTATACCTTCCCTCAGTGTGAAATGACAGGAGTTGTGGTGGACATTGAAGATAGAGCTACTCATTGTGTGCCTGTTGCAGATGGTTATGTTATTGGGAGCAGCACCAAATCTATTCCTATTTGTGGGAAGGATGTTACTCTCTTCATTCAGCAGATCATGAGGGTACAAGGATTTGGCTTCCACAATGAACATTCTTTTCCAAGGTCAACCAACTATTTTGCTAATAGTCTTGCAAATGGCAAGGCGAGCTGAGTTGATTTGTGTGGGAGTTATTCTCTCATTAATGGAACTATAGTTCAGTAAAAGATGGATGAGATCCCTCCATGGGGTTTTTTAGCCCATACTTCAGTATAATCTATCATGAGCATGAAATAGGGAAGTATATACTTCCCTTCCCCAAAAATGTTGGTTTAACAAAGCTTTCGCTGTTGTCATTCTTCTTGCAGGTATGTTGGTCTTAAAGCATGCATAACCCGACTATCTGAGGATGGGTATGGAGCTAATATTACTACATGGCGTGCTCGCCTGCATAATCCCCTAGATAGGCTCCGGGGCATAGAAATTGATGCCTATATATCCAGAAAGGAGCTCTTTAAGGCTGAATCAAGATATTGGTATGAAGTAATAGAAAGCTATATCCGTGTTTTCCATTGGAAGAAGTTAAAGATGCGGAATGAGATGGATATGTGGGCTGGGTTTGGAGGGTATGGACTAGTGTATTTGTATTCTTTCAACATTTCCCCAGTTTATGATCCCATGTTGGTTGGAGATAGTTTGAATTCTTTTTATGTTTCGGATACTTCTTTTAAAGAAAGATGCAAAATCAATTATGATTATTCTTTTTTAGTGATTGGTTGAATAGTGATCATTTTAGGTTTGCAGCAGCATTACATGATCTAGAGATTGATTGTTGGGTGATGAAAAGCTTTTTTTATTAAAAAATCAATATGCACCATGCATTTGTTTTATTAATTTTATGCTTTAGGTTTCAACAGGTGTCAACTGAAATTCTTATTTAAAATAAAAATTAAAAACCTAAGCCGGTAGTTAAACCAACCGCCACCTTTGGTAAAGCATTACACTTAAACCGACGGTTTATATAACATCTACACCGGCAGTCCAAACCGCCACCTTTGACGAAATAAAACATTAATGGCGGTGGTTTAATTAGATGAAAATTTAGTCTAAGTTGGCGGTTAAAACTGTTGGAAGTGACAAATTAATCTAAGCCGGTGGCCAAGGGTGTCGGCTCAATAACTAAACTGGCGGTCAAGGTCGCCTGCCGACTCAATAACTAAGCTGACGGTTCTCTAAAAACTGCCACCAAATGTATGGTTGGACCAGGTCCCTATGACGGCGGTCTTTGTATTTTAGATTGGTGTCCATGACCTAGGGTGACATAACTATAGATGACGACCACTGAACCGTCACTGCAAATCTATGCTGGCAGTTTAAATGGCTAAACTAGCGGTTTAACAAGCGCCGCCTTAGCCCATTTTTCTTGTAGTGGGTTCATGAAAAGTTTATTTTCCGTGGGTACTTCTTGCCCAAGGTAGTAAGTGATACCCATCTCCGAAGTGGGTAAGTAATTTTTCCACCTGATGGAAAAGTTGTCAACACTTGAATGGAAAAATTACCCCTTTTAATAATGAATTTTTATGGTTAAAACAGTCATTATCTTATTTACCTGGAAAATACTTACTTAGGTAAGTAACTTCCTAAAAAGCGAATGGAGCTAGAAAAAGAAAACTATTTGTACCACTAGGTTCTCTTCATATCCACTTCTTCTTCTTCTTTTCTTTTGGTATTAAACAAAGCAGAATGAACATGAGACCCACTCACTGGCCATACCATGAAGAGCTTGTAATTCCACGTCTTTGATCCCATGCTTCCTATCTTTTAGGGATGTTGAATGAATTTCAATTACTAAGTCATCAGTTCTTTATATCCAACCTCTCCCTAATTATTGAAACTTTCCTTAAATACCACTGTGGTATTGATGAGAAAACTTCAGCAAAGATGAATTGGTATTTTGTTTTTCATTTGTTTTTATGTGTTTTATGCACTGCCAAAATATATTTCCTTTTTCTCTTTTATTTTTATGTTTGTATTTGTTCTATTTAATTAATCATTCATCCATTTGGATTTTTCACAAAATAATTTTAATGGGTTAAATTGCAAATTTGATTAATAAAATATTAAAATAACACAAAATGGGGCTTGTACTAGATTTACCATTTGGTAGGTGAAGCTTCAGAAATAAAGGAAATGCACTATCCCTAGTTAGCATAGGGAATTAAAATCACATGTATTTGTAATTTTCCTATTCATTTTTTATAGAAACTAGAAAGATTTCAATTTCCTAATAACATTTTTAGGCATATAAAGGGGCTATGTAACAAATCAAGAGTGAACATTCACGGGGCTAGAGTGCTGAAAATAAGCAATAAGAGATCTGGGATTTTCAATTTTGTTAGTGGTGCAGAACCACACTTAGCCCAGTGGTGCAGAACCACACTTAGCCCCCTCCCCAAATTTGGTAGTAGCGGGATTCGAATTCCTGTTTCTGATGTAACGAACCAGTTAATATACCAACTGAGTCACCCCTCGAATTTAACAAAAACACCTGAATCATCGTCAAAAATTGTTAGGGGTGTTCAACAATGAGAGTACATTTGTTGCGATCATGGTCGCAATACTCCCTTGTGACTCCCCATTGAAACATGAACAAGTTAGCAACATAAAGAAATTCAAAACATCACATGAACAAAAAAACTTTGACTGTTTGGAAAAATACAAGCCAAGGCTGTTTAAGAGCTTCCTATGCATGACACATTACCACATGGGTCTGGAGTAAAAGCAAGGTTCAAAGTATTGATATTCTTAATATTGAAACATACAATACTTTTCCATACATTCTTGCAAGTCTGATGTTTCAAAGAGTAATTATATTATGAGGGTTTCTCAAGCTCAATTTGAAAAGAGTACAAATACAAATATATACAATATAAATACATACAAAATAATATAAAATGCAAGGTTTTGACTCCTTCCAAACTGAGCCTAAAATTTAAACCCATAGAAATCCCTTAACTTTCTAAACGTAGCCCTTCGGTGACTTTGAAAACCAATAGGTATCATTTGATATGCTCCAATATGTCACAGTATTTTGAACCTTGGTTGTAGTGCAAATTTCATTTGCTAATATTAGCACAAGTCCATAAGAATGCAAATTTTGGTCTATTTTTGTTTCATATTCTATGCACCTTGTCTTATTTGTTTGAGAGAATTAAAGTAAGATGATATGCTAGCCACTAGCCACATTATATATGAGAGAACTAAAATAGGTGGGAGGTGATGCTTCCAGTTTTTGAGATGCAAAATTTGCACAGTCAATTAAAGCATATGAGATAAAAACTACAAATTTTGTAAATGCAAATTATGATTACAAATAAATAGATGAAAAATTGAATCATATGCAAAATTTGTATCTAGTTCAGATTTGCATTGCAAACAAGTAGTGCTTTAAAGAACTAATAATCTTTTAGCCAAAAAGACAAGCAAGGAAGGTTGTGTTTGTTTTCAGTGCAAATATGGACCGGTGTAAAACTTCAATCACAGTCCTTATTTTCATGCATTTGTCTTCAGTGTAAGTTTTACATCAAAAATCAATGTAAACCTCATGCATAGTTAAGTTTTACATCGACTATCACATTTTAAAAAGTTCCAACAGTTCACTCTTTTTAAACCCATCAGTGTTGAACTCCATCAACCACCAATATACTTTTAAGAGTCACAAGGGAGTGATGCAATCATGGTCACAGCAAATGTGAATTCTTCAGTAATTGACCTTGTCCTTGTTTATCTTTAATAACCTCTCCTACTACCCCTAAATCAGCATTCATAGAGTTGTCAATATTCAATATACACCACTCCAGAGGTGGGGGTTCCGAAGCCAGCCATATGGTTTTACACATAGATTTGTCTTACCTGTTTTATATAAATTCCTTCGGCTAAAGAAAGTGAATATTTGAGCCCAGCCCATTTAGGACTACCCACCCAATTCTGAGTTCTTGTACTAATGTCCCAAGTCCTACTCAAGGGTACCCACTACAAGAAAACCCAATTCCAAACCCATGACTCGTTAGTAGTTAATGTTGTGTTTGGTTGTAGTGCAATTTTATTTGCACTAGTACAAATGCATGTGAGTTCTTGTACCGATGATGATGCCTTGGTAATCTCTATGATGATTGCCCATTACAAGGTGAAAATGATACTAATTGACAATGGCTCTTCGATAGACATCTTCTTCTAAGACACCTTCAATAGAATGAGATTGATCTTAGATCTACTTAAAATCCTAGTGATGTACCCTTGGTTGATTCTCCAGGGTAGTCATCAAGCTAAAGAGCAAGATTACCCTCTCGGTCACTATTGGTTTAGAACCTTGGCAAACCACCTTGATGACCAAGTTCTTGGTCGTAAAAATCGGGCTTCCCTATAATGGTATCGTTGGCTGACCCACACTGCATGCAATGAAGGCAGTAATTTCCTCCTACCAACTTGTCCTGAAGTTCCCAACCGACCACAACATCAAAGAAGTCAGGGGTGAGTAGCACATTATGTAGTAGTTCTACATAGTAGCACTCACGAGGAAGACCAAGGAAGCACTCCTCGTTGAGAGGCTTGACCTTTGAGATGAATTGAACACTAGTCGAGGTTAACCTTTAAAAGACCCCATTGTTGTGTCCTTGAATGAGGCTAAGCAAGAGAAGACAATTCAAATAAGGTCCCTACTTTCAGACAAGGTTGTCAAAACCTAAAATTCCCTCTTTTTGACACAATCTTCACGTCAAACGCTCAACTAAACTATGCCAATAAACTTGCATATAATTAACGAGAACATTGAGATAAACATCTGGCACTACATATAGGTTACAGTATCTCAATCAAACACAAATCCACCATTCATCATACCAACATGATTTTTAGCGATCCCAATCTATGCAGTGTTTGACCCTTGACTCCACAAAATCAAATTCGACACATCCATTGCTTCAAGGATTCTAATATACAATCAACCCCTAAATTTCACCTTAAATCTATAAGGATTAACCATAAAAATGTCAAGATTCCATTTCGATGACCTTGGATGAATAAAAATAGACAGTCAAGATAAACAAGTTATTTCTCAAATCTGAACCTTCCATCTGACTCCCCATCTTAATTCATGTTTGTACGCCAAATTTCAGCTCAAAATTCCCTTGCTTAACTGTCCGACCAATAAAGTTTCCAATTTTATATTTATGATTAAATCACATAAAAATTATAAACTAAGCAACCAAATCCCTCTCATTAACCCCAAAATCCTCAAAATAATCCACCCGTCCAATTTCAGCCCTAAATTACTTCATTTTCTTCCAAAATAAGCAATATTTTATTTTACACTTTTTGATCACTCATTGAGTTAAAACCTTATCTAAACCGAATATTTCAATTTACATCTATAATCATTGATTCATGTCTTCCATCAGATAAGGATGTTCAAAAAAGCCTAGCCACCAAATTACATCCCAAGGTTCCTTCATTTGACCCATTGTCAAACTGAGATTCCATTTCAATAAATAGAGTTTATTAGCTATAGACCTCCATTATCCAAACCTCATTTGACCAATTAGACTTCACTACCATATTCAAAGTCCTAGAAAACATCAATACATCAAATTTTATGACCTAATTTCTCCATTTAACCATTAAACAAGTAAGATTATGTTTTAAGCCTTCTCACTGGTTAATGATTAACAAGCTTAAACCTTTATTTAAACCAAATCTTTCAATCCACACCTCCTATCAAAGATTCATCTCTTCCATCAGATTTGGAACATTAAAAAATGCCCATCCACTAACTTTCATCCCAAGATTCCTTCATTTGACCCATTATTAAGCCAAGATTTTATTTTAACAAATCGCATTAATTAGAGTTTATTATCCATAAATCTTTACCATCAAGATCTCATTTGACCAATCATATATCATCACCATGTTCAAAGACCCAAAAAAACCCTAGTACATCAAATTTTGTGACCTAATTCACTCATTTAATTGTTAAACTAAAAAGATTTTATTTTGATGCACTAGATTAAAACACTTGGACCAATAAAATTAAGCCTTGTAAACTTAAAAAAAAAACCCAAAAACCTAAAGATACCTCCACTATAGGTATATGTTGATTGCCACGACTGCGGGGGCACAAAAGGTGCTAAACCGATACCACAAGAACACCCGCGGTGAGTTCATGACTCGGCTCACATCTGCGATGATCTCAGAACCCACAAAGACTTTCGACGAGCTTAACAAACCATCATAGATTTGCAATGAGCATAAAACACCACTCAAGACCCACGGTGAACAATGGGCGTTGCTTGAGACTTGTGATAACATCATCGATCTTGTCCTTTAACACGTGATCACTGGAAAACCCGTAAGGGGACGTAGCCTACACGTACCATGTGAGAATCCTTAAGAAAAATGAAACTTTGTCTTCAAAGGATCTCGCTTGACACGTGGCGAAACCTATATGGCGTTCACTTAATAGCTAATATAGAAATAAAGATCCCCTTTCCTAATAGTAAATGTCTCCTTATAGCCTTGGGGTCATTTCTATATAAAGGGGAATAACTCTTCTCATAGAAGACAAGATGATATAACCTTGACCTAGGGCTTCTCAAAAAGAGGACTCTCCCTTCTATCATCTCTTCCCCACGTTCTCTCTCTTTTATGTTGCCTTTTCCAGACCTTCGGAGACTTGACCAACCTCCATAGACTTACCACGGCACCAACACCCACTTAAAGCTAAGAAAAGACAAAATGACATTTATGGTTGAGTCAATTTTACATTTTACACCATTGAAAGCCCCTAATACAAACCTGTTGTGACAAACACTCTTAAGACTCTCATTGGATGCACAAAACCCCTTGAAATCAACCCCAAGTCGAAGAAAAATGTTACACCAAGAATGAGATAAAGAAGTGAGGGATTGGGGACATTAATTTCATGGAAATCAACCCAAAATCAACAAATCTCATTAACATACACACCTAAGACTAATTTCATTTAGGCTTGAAAATGAGGTAAAGAAACGAAGGATTTGGGGAAACTAGTACCTATCTCCCGATAATATCACCTCAAACAAAGTTGAAAGGAAGTTAGTGATTCTTTCTTAAGGATTTAGTGTTTTACTCCTTGATTGAAATTGTTTCTTGTGAAATTAAGTCTAAACAACTCCCGTATTGAGTTATCATAGTAGCTTAGTGAGAGGGGTGCTTAACACATTCCCTCTCTCCAAGCCATCCAAATTCAAAATCTCTTGGTTGAATGCATTTCTTATGAAAAATGGAATCACTATTTAAAAAAAAAAGAAAAGAAAATCGAAATTTTGTAATTGAAGCAAGGTTCCATTTCCACAGATGAAACAATTGGGTGCTTCTTAAATTCTTCAGAGATGAAATTCATCTTTGACATTAATGGTGCAACTAAAATTCTTCAGAGAGTGAGCATTGAAACCACACATATTTTATCACTTCTCAGCTTGACAACCATCTCATTCTTTACTAAATGATGCTCTAATATAAATATTCTTGCGAAGGAAATCCAAACAGTTGTTGTTGGAGGGTCGGGAGGTGCTTCTAGATGATGGTTTGAAGAAGTCGTCTCCACTAGAGAAGCTTCTTTATTTGCTTGAATATGTTGGACTAGATTTGAAGTTCGTGAGGATGGTCATTCATTTAAGAGATGGAAAATGAGGATTTGTTGGATTACTTGGATGTATGCTTGGATTTCATGAGTTGTTACTCTCCAAGAGAATGTTGTGGTCCACACTCCAATTGAAAGTGAGACCTGTTTTGAATGGAAAAAAATGAAGGGCATTTTGATAATTTTATAACCCACTTCAACATTTGTTAGTGGTGTTAGACTGAAATGACACTTTTTGGAAGTTCAAGTATTGCAATGACACATTTCAAAGTTCAAGTACTAAAGTGAAACTACACCCAAAGTACAAGATACTAATCTTTAGAGGTGCCAATTGGACTGGATTTGGTCCAACCTGATTCAGTCCAATTTGAGTCCACTTACAAATGGGTTGGGCCCAATCCAGTCCAAATCCAATCCAATCCAATCCAAACCAAATGAAATATAAAAAAACATTACATAAAAAAGTACAAAAATATATTAAAATGAAGAAAATCTGAAAATTAAAAAAATATACCCTTTTGGCATTGAAAAAGCACTTTTGTAAAAGTGCTTTCATGAAAGTACTTTGAAAATGCTTTCATAAAAGTGCTTTTTATAAAAGTACTTTTGTATAATTGCTTTTACAAAAGTACTTTCATAGAAGTGCTTTTGTAAAAATGTTTTCATAAAAGTGCTTTTATAAAAATACTTTCGTAAAAGCACTTTTATAAAAGTGCTTTTGTAAAAATGCTTTTATGAAAATGCTTTCATAAAAGTTCTTTCACAAAAGTGCTTTTGTAAAAGTACTTCTATAAAAGTGCTTTTATAAAAGTACACCCATAAAAGTACTATCGTAAAAGTACTTCCGTAAAAGTGCTTTTATAAAAGTACTTTTGTAAAAGTGCTTTCGTGAAAAATTACTTTTATAAAAGTACTTTTGTAAAAGTACTTTTGTGAAAGTGTTTTTATCAAAGTACTTTTATAAAATTGCTTCTATAAAAGTGCTTTCATAAAAGTATTTTTGTAAAAGTGTTTTCATAAAAATATTATAAAAGTGCTTTCATAAAAATGATTTTTTGTCGACTTCAGTTCTGATTGATTTCAAATTGGACAAGGTTTAGCCTCATGATCGGATTATCAGAAATTTGGTTTAGGTCCAATTTAGATAAAGAAGAATATGGACCAATTAATTTTGGATTTGCCCAATCCAGTAATTATAGCGGACCATCCAAATCCAATTTGATAAGATTTTCGGTCTATTGACACCCCTACTAATCTGCAATTTTTGTTTTACCTTAAAAAGAATTTATATAAAACATAACAACTTCAATATAAATATAGTCTTCACTAAGAATATGGTATTGTTCATATGTCAAATTGGATTGGAATTGATTGGGACTCCATAAGGTTCGGTCGTGCTGGTTTTAGTGGGAACCCGGTTGAATTAAACTCATACCAAACCCAATCCATTGACATCTCTTCCTCAACTAGAAAAATATATAATATATGCAAATACAACAAGAAAACAAAATGTTACAACCGAGCCGGTTGCTATGACAGTTGGGAGATCCACTTAAAATGATAAAAATCATATCAAATATGTGGCGTTTGGTGTTTGTGGAAGGCATGCCACAAAAACAATTTTGTATTGTTGGAAAGTCAGATTGTTGTGGAAGAAACACAAGATATTTATTCAGTGTATGCTGTCCACGTCAGCTTTTCTATCTCCCCCTCACATTGCTTTCCCCAACTCCCTTACAGTTTTGTGATTTATTTAAAAAAAAAAAAAAAGTTGGGCATGGGGTTATTTCAACTCACCCACAACCAATAAAATATCGTTTTTATTAATAAATTAAACGTAAGCAGCCCCCTGTAAAATATGAGCATCTTTTAACACACAAGATTCTATTCAATATAAAAATCTAATACCACCTATCAAGGATCAAAATATTGATATTTTATTTTTTATTTTTATTTTTATAAACATTTACATTAAAGGGATGCAAAAGATTATCTCAAAGTCTTAAAAACTTTTAAAACTTATATGTATCGGTGTATCCATGTGTATTTTGATGCACTGATACGAATACAGTATGTTTCAATATATTTGATATGAAATGAGGAAACAGAATTCGTCTAATCCACCCCACATGAAGTGGTTAAACCAAACAGCCCCTTGAACATGGGTGTTATAATTCAATTAATAAACGGTGGGTATATTTTTAAGGGAAAATTCCACTTTAGTACCCTAAACATTGGAGGTAGTGTCAAGTACCGAATTTTCAAATGTGTCATTGCAGTACATAAACTTTCAAAAAGTGTTTAATTGGTCCATACCGTTAATCGACCGTTAGTTACCTGTTGAAAATATCAAAATTACCCTTCAAAAAAAGATACTGTTCATTGCCTTCTACCTTGAGATTGAACTGCTTATCTTCAAAGAAAAAGAGAGAAAAAAAAAACATAAAATATGATAGAAGAGACTAATTTGACACTTTTTTAAAAGTTTAGGTATTGCAGTGACACATTTAAATGAAAGTTCGGATAATAACTTGACACTAGCCCTAAAGTTCAGGTATAAAGTGAAATTTTCCCTATTTTTAAAAGCAAACCCATTCTTTTTTCATTTAACCAAAACAAAATAGAATCAATCGATTAATCAATTAATCGGTTCAATTCTTCAATTTTTTTTGTTTTTTATATTTTTAATATATTAATACTGTAAATATATATATATAATTTATTATAAATATATTATTATTAGAAATATAATATATAATATATAAATTTATACCGATCGGTTTGATTAACGGTTTTTCTTATAGTTTAATCGAACCGAATAAGTCCGCTTTTCGGTTACCATTCAGTTCACTAGTTCAGCAACTTGTTGAACGGTGAAGTTTACTTGCCTGAGGTTAGTCTCGGCTCTTGTCAATCATCCTCAGCACTTACCAAATCAAGCAAATGCTCCTTTAAACCGACGTTCCCTCCCGAGTCTTGACAGAAAGGGAAGGTACAGAAAGCTATGGCTTCTCTTCTGCAATCTTCGACTCTTCTTTCCAACTCTTCATCTTCATCTCTTACATTTGTTCTCCCCTACACCATTCACAAAATTAGAAATTCAAGTCTCCAACCTCTGAAACTCATTCCTTCTCAACCACACACTTTAACAACTTCCCCACTTAAGAGGTCGGACCATTCGAAGGGAACTCTGATTCGGAGTACGATCCTCTGCGAAGGACCGGTGCTTGACCCTCCACCGACGGAGCCTGACCTAGTAGCTTCTCTGAAGCTCAAATTACTGGTGAGTAATTTCGGATCTGGGTTCAATTCATTTGGTCGTTCTAACATTTTCAGGTTGCTCCATTTTTGAAAATTCTCCAAATCCTTAATTGGGCGCTTCTTAAATTTTCGTTGCTCGGTTTGTGTTATTCAAATTTCAGATTGTTGCTATGCTTATTTTATTTAGAATTACACTGTTGTTGATCAATCTGAAAATGGGTGTCATTTGAATTTTTGCGAATTGTTGACTTGCGTAGTGTTTTACTGTCACTTAGTAAATTCAGAGCCATGCTGATGAATCCTAGAACTTTTATCAAATATTTGGTGCGCAAACCCAATTAAGTACCAGGAAGTTCGATTCTTTTGGCTTTGGAAGGATCAGTTTTCTCGTGAGTGGTGAATCTAATAGACTTATTCTGGTTTGTTTCTCCATAAAATGGACGACTTTTTTTTTATCAAACTAAAGTGTTTCAGCTATTATTATGCCTGCCTGTTCTTGCTGCAAGAACCTTGTTTTTGCACCCCTTTTAATTTGCTTTTAAATTGCAAGGAAAACAAAGGTTTCATTGTAAAAGAAGGAAAAATATAGCTCAAACATTTCAGCATGGGAAATTTTTGACAATTTTACATTGAAAGAAATGGGGAAGGAAAATTTTTGTCAATTTTACTTTGAAACAAATGAGGCTTTCATTAGCATGTTGAAGGTATATGGTAGTGTAGTGCAATCAGAATATAAATGTCAAAAATATGGATTTAGGAATTCATCTACCAATACTTGTAGGAGATACTAAGGAATTTACATAAGTAGGATCAATTATAGATGGAATTGTATATTATTATGGGTTTTCTTTTTTATATTATCTTATTTCCAAGGACATTGTTGCCGTTCATGTTTAGCAAGTTGACGAGGTCTAAAGCTGTATACCTAGTAGGGGAATATGTATTTCTAAGATATCGGCGGTGTTTGGAACCATGGGCGTTTATTGAATAAACACTGCCACATAGGTGCCACTTCAGCATTTCCCTCATTATGCGGATCGGTACACATAGAGACTTGTAAAAGCAAGCATTGATTTATGTGCATGCCTACCATTGGGGGAAGCTTCATTTTAGCACTTCCCCCAATGAGTAGGCGTTTATTCACTGTTTTGCTGATGTGGTGCCTAATGGCGCCTAAGTGTCAATAAATGGGTTCATTATTGCTTTTATCGGTTTTGCAAACAAATCAAGTACAAACGTTTAGTGAATAAACACCCATGGTTCCAAACACATACATCACCATTGTTAGTAGTGGGCCTGGGAGGTCCAAGTTATAATTTCAAGTGTCAGGCTTGGGAAAATTCTCATGCATGATTGAATCATCAAAAAAAGGCTTATCCTGCACAAGTGGGCAGTGGCATGAAGAATTTGGAGCTCACAACTTTGATATTTGCAATCAGCCATATATCCCCATGTTAAGAATGGAGTTAGGTCAATTTGAATGCTGAGGGGAAAAGGAACTCTAGTCATCAACTCATCACCACAAAAAGACAAAAAAAATATTATGGCTTTGTGTAAGGGCTGTTGTGCTATGGACACTTTGGAATGAGAGAAATTCCAGAATTTTTGAGAAGGCAAGCAGGTGGGGGATTTGGTTGAGCTTACTGTGATAAGGGTAGCTCATTGGGCTTTGGTGTCTGATGAATTTAAAGGTGTCACCCTAGATGACCTGTTACAGGGATGGAAAATCATTGCAAATTTCGAGGAACGTGAGAAGCGTAGTCAGTTGGTATGCACCAGCATACCAGCATACCAACTGATAAGGGCAGCCCATTGGGCTTTGGGGTGTGATGAATTTAAAGGTGTCACCCTAGATGACCTGTTATAGGGATGGAAAATCATTGCTGATTTCTAGGAAAGGAACATGGAAAGCATAGTCAGTTGGTATGCACCAGCAGTGGGTAATGTTAAATTCAATTTTGATGGTTACAGCCTTGGAAACCGAGAAGATTCAGGTATTGGAGGTGTAGTCAGGGATCGTACTGGAAATGTTCCACTCAGCTACTCTGGTCCTATAGGATATTGTTAAGGGGCCGCGAATAGGATCTCGTCACGGGTCAGTCCACAGGGAAAATCTCCTGTTTTCCCTTGTTCCTCCCTTTTCTTGAAGAACCTATCTTGCCGCCCTAAAGGTGATTTGTTCAAGATATCACAAACTCTCCTTTGCTCTCTTTCTTGACTGAAATTTTCGATGATTTTATTCAATATTCTCAGCTCCTTAAATAGGAGATTACAAGAGATAAGAGTCCTCCTTGTAGGAAGACTCCCTGCTAATCTATACCACTTACAAATAAGATAGATAAGACTCCCTAAGATAGATCAGACTTCCTACTAATCCTTACTGAAAACAGATAAGATAAGATGGACTGAAAACAGATAAGATAAGATGGATTGTAACTAGCTAGAATCCGATGAGAACACCAAATCACTGCTGCTGCCGGCGGCGATATTTCTTCCCAATAAACGCGTCCATATCATTACTCCCCTCCTGGACTAAGAGCTTGCCCTCAAGCTCGAAACCCGGATACGTGTCTTGGAACTCAGTCAAGGGGAGCCAAGTGGCCTCGGCTGATGGCAAGCCGTCCCATTCCACCAGGACTTCGAGAACACCCCGATTGATTTTGGAGAGAACAAGGGCCCGAGGTTGGGGGATGAGTTTTCCGTCTTTCAAGGGTGGTAAGGGGGGAACTCGGTCAGGAGGAATACCCGTAAACGGCTTGAGCAAGGAAATGTGGAAAACATCATGGATTCTGCTGTGCTCTGGCAGTTCCAGCTAGTATGCAACCGTACCGATCCGTTGCAAAACCTTGAAGGGTCCATAAAATTTAGGAGCTAATTTAGGAGCAGCCCTGTGTCGCAAGGAGCGTTGCCGATAGGGCTGAAGCTTCAACCACACAAACTATCCTGGGTCAAATGACAATTCCCGATGATGCTGGTCATAGGCATGCTTCATGCGTAGTTGTGCCTGTTGCAAGCGAAGAGAAACTTCAGCTAGAAGGGCATCGCGCACTTGTAGGGAACGATCAATCTCCTCCAAACGAGTAGAACCGGGCTCATAGGATAACAAACGAGGAGAGTCACGGCCATAGACGACCCGGAAAGGTGTCATTCCGAGGGAAGAATGATAGGCAGTGTTATAACAATACTCGGCCCAAGGAAGCCAATCAACCCACTGTCGCGGTTGATCTCCAACAAAACAACGGAGATACATTTCGATTGTACGGTTCACCACCTCCGTTTGGCCGTCTGTCTGAGGATGATACGCGGAGGAAAAAGCTAAGGCGGTACCATGTAACCGAAACAATTCCTTCCAGAAGGCACTAGTAAAAACTGGGTCCCTATCGCTGACAATAGATTCCGGCAACCCATGTAAACGGAAAACATGCATAAAGAAAATGTGGGCGACTGATGTAGCACTGTACGGATGTGACAGAGGGATGAAATGGGCGTACTTAAAGAAGCGATCCACAACCACGTAAAGAACCAATTTTCCGCCAACCTTGGGTAGGCCCTCAATGAAATCCATGGAGATATCTGCCCAGATTTGTGCTGGAATCGAGAGAGGCTGAAGAAGGCCAGCCGGGTGTAGATTCTCCCATTTGTGTTGTTGACACGTGGAGCAATTATGGATAAAGTCCCGAATAGAAGTTTTCATACCTTGCCAATGGAAATCAGCTTGGACGCGATGCAGTGTCTTCTGAATGCCTTCATGGGTGGAGTTATGAATACTGGAGATGATGGAAGGAATGAAAGAGGAATCTGTTGGAAGATGTACCCGACCTTTGTACAGCATCAGCCCGTCATGAAGGAACCAAGTGGAGTCGGCAGCTCCAGACTGAATTTTCTGAACAAGGGCCGTCCACTCTGGTGATTGTGGCAGCGCCTTCTTGATGTCGTTTAACAAGGTGATTCGGGGATGGGAAATCCCACAAAGGAGCATAGTGTAAAGCATCCGCGGCGTGATTTAAGGATCCCGCCTTGTAGTCTACCCAGAAATCAAAACCAAGCAGCTTGCTAACCCAATGTTGTTGAGGAGAAGTAGTGAGTCGCTGCCCCAACAAGTACTTGAGGCTATAGTGATCAGTTTTGACGATGAATGACCTTCCCCACAAGTACAGTCTCCAGTGTTGGACTGCTCTAGCTATCCCAATCAGTTCGCGTTCGTAGGCGGGTAATTTTAAATGTCGATCATAAAGTTTGTGGCTAAAGAAGGCAATTGGGTGCCCTTGTTGCTGTAATACGGCTCCAATACCTATTCCGGATGCATCGCACTTGATTGTAAATTCGAGGTCAAAGTTTGGCAATTGCAGAACTAGGGTGGAGGAGAGGGCATCCCTTAAATTTGCAAAAGCTGTATCGGCTGCGTCGTCCCAATGAAAGGCATTCTTCTTTAGCAGGTTGGTTAATGGGGCAGCCAACAGGCCATAATTTTGTACAAATTTGCAGTAGTATCCTGTCAGACCCAGGAACCCGCGGAGAACCTTGGCGGATTGGCGTTGGTATTCAGCCACCGTTCCCATCTGTTTGAGGTTGATCAGTTCACCTAACGGGTTGCTCGTCAATGGGGGCCCAAACCTGAGGAGGCAGTAGGATTTGAATTGGGTCCAACTGAGCCTGGGTTCCTCCTGTTCCAATCGATAGAACCAGAGCTGCGCCTCTTCCGTCAAGTGGAATGCAGCTAGGCTTACCTTGTCTCTGTCCTCCGTCCGCTGGTTGCGAAAGAACTACTCACATCGGTATAGCCACCCCAAAGGGTCTTCGGTGCCATTGTAAGAAGGGAACTCTAGTCTGCTGTACTTGGGAACGACCGCGGCTACCAGGGCGACGACCTGCTGTTCGTCGGACGACTCCGTCAAGTCTGGTCGGCGGCTGTTTGTGGTTGCAGCCCCTTCTGGATTCCTTTCCTTGTTAGAGAAATACAACTCCATCAAGCGCCGTAACTCTCGAACGTCGTCCTTGATTTCGCATACCTCCGTGCTGTTCTCCACGAGCCTGTGCTCCAGTTCATGGACCCTGGACGTCAACTGCTCCAGATCGCCCATGACGTTTGGCTCTGATACCAAATTGTTAAGGGGCCGCGAGTAGGATCTCGTCACGGGTCGGTCCACGGGGAAAACCTCCTGTTTTCCCTTGTTCCTCCATTTTCTTGAAGAACCTATCTTGCCGCCCCAAAGGTGATTTGTTCAAGAGATCACCAACTCTCCTTTGCTCTCTTTCTTGACTGAAATTTTCGATGATTTTATTCAATATTCTCAGCTCCTTAAATAGGAGATTACAAGAGATAAGAGTCCTCCTTGTAGGAAGACTCCCTGCTAATCTATACCACTTACAGATACGATAGATAAGACTCCCTACTTAAGATAGATAAGACTCCCTAAGATAGATCAGACTTCCTACTAATCCTTACTGAAAACAGATAAGATAAGATGGACTGTAACTAGCTAGAATCCGATGAGAACACCAAATCACTGCTGCTGCCGGCGGCGATATTTCTTCCCAATAAACGCGTCCATATCAGATATGGAAACTCCATAAGTGCTGAGCTATATGCTTTGATCCAAGGGTTGGAATTGATGAGTAAGAAAGAAATGAAAAATATGGAGGTTGAAGGTGATTGTTAGTCTAACTATCTCCTGGATGAGAAAATAGGACAGGGTACCCATGGAAGTTTAGGCCATAGATGAGACAGGCACAATCGGGTTCCTCATTGACTGGCACATTCAACTGGGTTAATTGTGTGCCTAGGACTGCTAGTGGACTAGCTGACTCCCTAGCTAGGACAGGGGTGGTCAAAAACCAGCTTGAATGGGGTTGTCCAGGGCCTAGTTGTAATTTGTAACTTCATTGTATTACTGTTTTTGACTCTCCTCATGATAGAGCTGCTTTTTGTTATTCTTGAAAGCCTGGTTGTACTATCTCAAGACTGATGCTACCTTTTGAGCAGTGGATCAACTCATTTCTACAAAACAAGGTCTTCCAACTAGGACTGCAAAGGGTTTCCAATTGTATAAATTTGAATTTGATCCCATCAAGGGTGATCTGAATTTGATCTGTTTATAAGTGGATCAAATATGAATCCAATCCCACTCCTATCCAATCCAATAAAATCTGATTCGATTGGATTTAAATGTATGTACTCATATATGCTTAAAATGTATATTATATCTATTAGCAATAGCTTGAATGTTGGGTTTTTACTAAATTGTCTTCAGGTTTCATACAAGTAATTTTCAATCCATTTTTTCATGAACTACAATATCAAAGTCATTTTAGTTCATTTTATTAATAATGTATAATATTTTGATCATTTTTAGTTTAATTTACTTACACTATTCAATATCCAATTACAATCTGAATTTGATTCAAATCTGATATAAGTCCAATAGATAAGATCTGATTTGAATTTGAATATAAATAAATCAAATTTGGATCTACCTATATCCAATTCGATCAGTTTGCAGCCCTATCTAATTCGTTTCTAGGTGTTATATAAGTTTAACCCAAATCAGCAGATATTTATATTGACAATGTATAGTTGAATACAGAAAAAGCCTGTTAATGGGTATTCTACATTTCAATTATCTTATGCTTTTTCAGAGGTAATCAACTGCAGAATGTTGTTTCTGGGCTGAACAGAGGTCTTGCTGCAAGTGAAGAAGATCTTAGAAAAGCAGATGCCGCTGCCAAGGAGCTTGAATCTGTAGGGGGGCTTGTTGATCTATCAACTGATCTTGATAAACTCCAAGGAAGATGGAAGTTAATCTATAGTAGTGCCTTTTCATCGCGTACTCTAGGTGGGAGCCGTCCCGGGCCCCCTGTAGGGAGGCTTCCTGTCACTCTTGGCCAGGTACATTTGATTTAACCTCCGGTTAGTCCCTTGACTATCTTTATCGCCAAATAATTTCTGTTGAGCTTTGCACTCATACATTGTACTCTGGTGACTGCATACCAAATGGATAAAAGAAATTAGCATGGAACTGTACAGAATTTCCTTTGTCAGCTAAGGTTGACTTACTATTGTTCTACCAGGTTTTTCAGCGGATAGATATCTTAAGCAAAGATTTTGACAATATAGTGGAGCTTCAGTTAGGTGCTCCATGGCCTCTTCCGCCAGTGGAAGTGACAGCTACATTGGCACACAAATTCGAACTCATAGGTTGGTACCTCTGCACTTATTCCACTGGATCATTTGTTTGGTTCAATAGTTACCTGAAACTCTCAGTGTCTATGGTAGTCCAGAACTCTAGATTGATATATCAACTGATGTAACATATCTGTAAGAGTCACAAAGAAAAAAATGGAAGCTCCAAATCATTCTAGAAACAACTACTTTAAGAAACAGTCTAGGAAAAAATGTTTTATTTGCTTCCATTTCTTAATTCTAAAGGAACTGAAAAGTCATATCTACTATGTATAGGATCTGCAAAGGTGAAAATTATATTTGAGAAAACAACTGTCAAGACAACTGGTAACTTATCACAGCTGCCGCCATTTGAGGTGCCTCGGATTCCAGATTCTTTAAGGCCTTCATCCAATACAGGCATAACAAGAGGAGATAGAGATGAACTAAGGGTTTTTGTGATCTCCTAGCAAAATGCAAATACTGTTCTATAGCTCTTTCTTTGGCATCCCAAACTTGTTTTTAAATTTATGTAAATGCAGTACTAGAGTTTGCACAGCTTTTGTGACTTTTGTCATTGAATAATGTTTTGGGGGGCTCACTTGTAAATGCAATAGCAAGTACATTCTTTTTTTTCCATCCTCATATGGAGTGACTGAAGGTTAGCTTTTCAAGAGAAGCTCATGTCTGAATTGTCCAGTTTCACCTCAAGTGGGTTTCCAGCTTCAAATATCTCCTCTACGTGGAAGCACCTTTTTCCATTTCCCGGTAGCTGGTTCAAGCTGACAATCCTCTCTATTACTTTGTCTAGTTGACATCCCAATACCCCCAAGGAACTCTGAAACTTGGCCCGTCCCCCAAACCCATAACTATAAACCCCTCAACCCTGGTGGCTGCGGGGTTTGATCCCACCTCTCCACCACGCACGGCCTGAGAACCTACCAACTGAGCCAACATCAGTTGGTTATCCGAATTCTTGTTAATTACCTGACTTGTCCAGTCCCATTAAGTGGTGTATCCCTATATAAGTTTTAGGATGATTGGCCCGTCCGGTCCGGCTCCAGTCAGGGGTAAACTCGGTCCTGAGCCAATAAGAAAATGTGAAGACCCAGTCTAAACCCAGACCCTTGTTTTTTTGGGTATTACATACTACACGGTATAAGGTATCAGGGATAGGACTAGGGATGGCAATTAAAAAATTTTGGGGATTGGGGTCTCCACGGGGAACCCGTCTCTGTCGGGGATTGGACTAAGGATGGCAATTAAAAAATTTTATCCCCAGCAGAGATCAGGGTTGGAGATGGGGATTTATTTCAAAATCGGGGTCAGGGATGGGAAATATGACCCCTCCCGTCCCATTGCTATTCCTAGATAGGGCAGAGTAGGATGCACATGAGGCCCACGGGCTATCGCCAATACCATGCAGTTCTATGGATTTTAATACCTAGCCTCGCATTTAGATGGGTGCCAACTAGAGGTGATTATTTTCAGCCTGGCCCGGCCTAGAAATTCTGGGCTTGGGCCTAGGTTTTGTGTTCTGACCCAGTCCAGCATGCATGTATTTATATTTACATTATTTATACATTAAGCATATTTATATATTATTTTATGTTATATTTTATATATAAATTTTATAAAATGGCACCTATAATACATATTATATATGACATTTTATATTACAAAGTGTATAAAATAATTTTTGTAGGCATATTATATGACATATAAAATGTTATATGCATTCAATACACATATATGTAAAAATAATTTTTATACACATTTTATGTTATATGTCTAAAATAATAATAATTTTTATACATAAGATTCATAGGCCCAGCGGGGCTGGGCCAGGGCTATATCCCTTGTCACAGGTACCAAGCCCGGCCCGAGCTGGCCCATGATCACTCTTGACTACTGGGTCATCGGCAGACCCAGACCCTATATGTATCAATCGGATTTATCGAGTGTGACCCGACAGAATCTGAGTAAAATTGATACAACTTCAGCCTGTTAATACGACAACAAATTTGCTAATTCTCTTGCCTTTCTTCTCAAAGTATCTATGTGATCCAGACCATGCGGTTTGACCGGTTCTGGTCTGTCAGTCCACCAGCTTGACTGATATACTTGGGCCCAATTAATAGAATTTGTGTCCATTTGGCCCTTTTCACTATTGGGTTGGGTTTTGGCCTTTTGGGTCATGAAACTAGACCCGTAAAAATTGTTGAGACCCAAAATTGTTTTCTCTCTCTTGGACGGCAGTGATTGTGTCACACGTACACGTGTACGATAGAAAATAATTGAAGGGGCAAATCTATAATACCGGAAAGACATGGTACCGGCCCCGTGAATTGAAGAGGCGTCGTTTGAGCTCTCAGGTCCGCCTCGCCGTGGTCGCCTGGTCGGTGGTCCGTGAGACGTGAAGCCATCTCTTTACTCGTTGCCAAAATATAGACGTTAGAATCATAACGGCTACATTTCATTTTAAAATTCAAACCGATATTTTCTTCACTATTCTTCCGAATTCTTCCAACCCTCCTGTCGTTTCAGCTTTCTTCGCTTAGAGCCTCCAAATCAGCTCCTTTTCTAACGTTGTCCAGCAACCCAGGATCAGATTCGGGGACATCCTTCGGAATCCTAAGTCATCTTACAATCTTTTCTTTTCTTCTGTAAATTAGAAGAAGATTTCCGAAAATCTCTTCTGGGTTTTCTTCAATGGCTCCTACTCCTTCATCAAAATCTTCTCAAAGCCAAACAACCCCATTAAAAACACCGCAGTCGAAACATCGTCCCCATTTCAATCTTGTAAGAAATGCTCACCCGTCTCCGAATCCAACCACTGCGGCTAAGGAAAACCCACCAGCAGAGCATCCTGTCGAGGTTATTGGCCGTATACGTGATTACCCAGATCGAAAAGACAAACCTGTTTCAGTGTTACATATCTCTTCCGACCGCCGGAGTGTTCGAGTACGCACGGATATTGGCTACAGGGACTTCAGTCTTGATGGAGTTTCAGTCTCAGAAGAAGAGGATCTTGACGGGTTCTACAAGAAATTTGTGGAGTCAAGGATCAATGGCGTCAAATTGGGGAATAAGTGCACCATTATGATGTATGGTCCCACTGGGTCGGGTAAGAGCCATACGATGTTTGGGAGTTCCAAGCAGCCGGGTATAGTGTACAGAGCCCTGAGAGATATTCTAGGAGAAGGGGAAGAAGAAAACATCTCGGAGAATCGTTTGGGTATCGGATCCTTCGTGCAAGTCACAGTCTTGGAAATATACAACGAGGAAATTTATGATCTGCTGTCAAACAATAATGGCGGGGGACTAAGCTTTGGACTGCCCAAAGGGATTGCTTCAAAGGTAACTTGTTAACTTTACAGATACTTGTGTTGTTATTTTCTTGTTGAATGACTTCGAATTTGGTTCTTCTTCTTACTTCTTACTCTATATATCATTTACTTGAACTAATGAGTCGGTATCTGTCTTAGGAATCATTTTACGTTTATTGCATTTTCTAAGTTCTGCAATTTGCATCCTAATTGGGTTAACTTCAAAGGGAAAATGTAAGCTCAGTTAAAGCTGTTCTCAGATTCTTCTGAACAAAACTCCAACGAAAATCTCTCTCTCTCTCTCTCATGAATTGACACGTTGAATATTCAGATTTTAACAACTATTCAGAATATATGTTAAAAGCAATGATACTATACTAAACCTTGTTTAATTTGGCTATAAAGGAAACCTGATTTTTTTTCCTTGTAATGAAAGAGTAAATAGTCGAACTTTAAGATATTGCTCAATTTGAATATATGTTATATGTTAAAAGCAATGCCTAGTTTAGTTTGGCTGTAAAGGAAACCCATTTTTTTATCTTGTGTTGATCTATCAAGTCGGCAACATTTTTTGAAACATCAGAGGAAACTTGAAAACGACTTCATATTTGACTATTAATGATTTTTCTGTTCATTCACTGTCTTGTACTTTGAGTGTACAGGTGAGGCTTGAAGTGATGGGGAAGAAGGCAAAGAATGCAACTTTTATCTCTGGAAATGAAGCTGGGAAAATTACTAAAGAAGTTGCCAAAGTGGAGAAACGAAGGATTGTTAAAAGCACGAATTGCAATGATAGAAGTTCAAGAAGCCACTGCATGGTTTGTTATTTGTACTTTGTTTCCTGTTACTGTCTTTTTTACAACTTTTCTGTTTTATGAACTTCATCTCTTCTAGGATTTTTTTTTTTTTTTATGAGAATCTTTTCTTGGATTTTGAGTAGATAATTCTGGATGTCCCTTCAGTGGGAGGGAGATTGATGCTTGTTGACATGGCTGGTTCTGAAAACATTGACCAAGCTGGCCAAGTTGGATTTGAGGCAAAAATGCAGGTAGAATTGTTATTCTCTCTTAAAAGTGTACTTATGGTCTGTTATATGTACAATGTATTGCACATAGGCCTAACTTTCCAGTTCTTGGTTGGGTTGATGTCTTTTTACTGTAATTGGGCACATAGGCCTAACTTTCCAGTTCTTTGTTGGGTTGATGTCATTTTACTGTAATTGAATCTGAATACCTACTCTATTCTACTACTGGATTGCAGACAGCAAAAATCAACCAAGGAAATATTGCACTGAAGAGGGTTGTGGAGTCCATTGCAAATGGGGATTCTCATGTCCCTTTCAGAGACAGTAAACTGACCATGCTTCTTCAGGTGGTTCTCACTCTTCTTTACAACATCCAATATATGGTTCCTGATTATTTAAATAATTTGTCTTCCTTTTGTCTAGGATTCTTTTGAGGATGACAAGTCAAAAATCTTGATGATACTGTGTGCTAGTCCCGACCCCAAGGAGATTCACAAAACAATCTCAACACTTGAGTATGGGGCAAAGGCTAAGTGCATTGTCCGTGGTTCTAGCACACCAACAAAGGATAAAGTTGGTGAGGATTCCTCATCTGCAGTAGTGTTGGGATCACGAATAGCAGCAATGGATCAGTTCATATTGAAGCTACAGATGGAAAACAAGCAAAGAGAGAAAGAGAGAAATGAAGCTCACAAAGAGCTCCTGAGAAAAGAAGAAGAAATTGCAGCTCTGAAGGCTAAGCTCAAGGTGATGGAAGGCAGGGAATTGGGGGCTAGTGAAGAAGAAATCAACTTGAAGGTCAATGAGAGGACCCGGCATTTGAAACTTGAATTGGAAAGAAAGTTGCAGGAATGCCAAAAGATGGCCAATGAGATTGTTGAGTTGGGGAAGAGGCGAATGGAAGAGAAGATATTGCAACAGCAGGAGGAGGTTGAGATGCTGAGGCAGCGGTTGGAGGAAATTGAAAGTGAACTGTGCCAGCCAAGGGACATTGATGAAGACAGAATACAAGACATGGATGGAAGTAATTTTGCCAAAAGGATACTGGAAATGTGTGCTGATGGGGACCGAGGAATGGAGAAATCAATGGACTTGGATATGGGTGACAAGCAACCAGTTATTGTTCATGAGGTGAAAGAGATGGATTTTGGTCTTCATCCAACTGAAAATTTTGGACATCACAATCTCTTGAATCCCCATTCTTTTATTAGAACGGCGGAAGAGGATGATGGTGATGATGTTGTGTTTGCTGCACCAAAATTCCCTGAGAAAGTATATCTGAGTACAGTTTTTGAGGAGGATGAGGAGGAAGGAGACGACAGAGAGAATGATGTGGATGATGAAGAGGTGGAAAAGGAAGTAGTGGAAGAAACAGCAGTACATACTAGCCAGTATGATGCTGCCATTTCTCAGAATATTGTACCTGCATCTAGTTTCTATAGCAGAGATTTGGAAAAGATGACAAGTGAACTTGAAAATGCAAAAGATGCAGCTTCTACTAGAAGAACAAGAATCCAAAACATTTTCTTGCTTTGTGGGAACCACAGGGAGCTTTCTCAGCATGTCAGAACCCCAACACCTGCCAAGAAAACATCTGAACATGGTGATATTCAATCATCTCCAGTGATGACAGCTGATAAGTCTGTTGCTAAGTCACTTTCAAAGGAAATTTCACAGCTTGAAACTGTTCATGTACCAGAGTATGGAATAGGTAATGAAGTTCTGTCTGTTGTGCTGTCAAAAGATGTCACAGAGTTCCCAAATTCAGCTCTTACAATGGAGTCATTTGCATCACTTAAAGTTGCTAATGATCCTGTACAGTCCCTACTAAGTAGAAACCTCTCTGAGGAAAAGAATGGACCAGTAGATGAGAGCATTAATGATCTGATTGAAGTATATGTGAAATGGGAAGCCTCAAAAGAGAATGCTGGAAGGTTTATTACAAAGTTGAAGGTGGTAAAGGATTCAAGCCTTGCTGATCTGCGGAAGCGGATTGAGACCCATCTTGGGAATGACAATGACAAACAAGGATTCACCTTTCTCATGCTTGGGGTAATCTCTTCTAAATATTTATTTGTTACTGATTCTTTTGCAGTGACTATTGTTTTGATAGCTGTTTTCATATTAGATGTCTAATATTGCTTTTATTAAAGAGAACTACACTACACCATTGGAAGAATTCTAATGAAACAACAATATATGGAGTTCAAAATGTATTAATTTGACATTTTACTTGTACATGGCACACACTAATGAAACAAAAGTATATGGAGATTCAGAATGTATTAATTTGACATCATTACTTTGTGATTCTTTTGATAAATGCTTGATTTTTTTTTCTCTACAGGATCCTACTGGAGCTCCAGTTGTGAAGGAGAAGGAAGCAACAATTCAATCAAGCAAACTTCCCATTTGCAACAACCCATTAAGTGGCCATCTCGCTTGTTTGCGTCCTGTCAAGGCAATCCAACAGCTCAATCATATCCCATTTAGCTCACTGGAGAATAAACTTCCAATCGCTTCAAACCCTCCATCAGCTTTCAAACACCAAGTTGAAGGATTCTCACCCAGACTAGGTGAAAACTTCAGCCCTGCTCCATATGTCACCACGGCGCTTCATTAGTACCTTCTTGTAAAAGTGCTGCAGCACATCAAAAGCCAACTCAACTGTTGAGTTCAAGTCATGGCAAGTACAGAGTTTTTATTAGGCAAGAGTACAAAAGTTTTTTGTGCTCATTCTTTTGTGGTTAGATATGAAACGTACACACTAAAGTGTTGGATTTGTGCCATATGAAATCTTTACTGTCTTGTTGGTCCTTTTGTACACCAGTAACAATGAAGTTTTCACTTTTCAGTACTCTAGTTAGATATGCAATCAGTACAATTTTGTAGGTGTTTTGTAACTCTCATGTCATAGAGCCAGAGAGAGAGAGAGAGAGACCATATTTCCATATTTGGTTTGCTGGTTGGGTTGCTTGGTGAAGAAAGTCCAAAATGCCAATGTGGGGTGAGGTACAGGAATGACATGGACTGAGAACTGAAGAAATGGAGAGCCTATTAATTATCTATCTAAAAAGCTCCTCGAAAGAATCTCTCTCTTTATGTTTTCTGTTTCACTGCATGGTTCCTTTTAAAGATTTTATTTCAAATGGAATGTAGTTCTTCATGATGCAAAATGGTTAAAGTGCCTTAAAAACAACAAAGTCTATTGGAATTAGTTCAGGCTCAATTCCTATCACTACAACAAACCTTCAATGAATCTATTGGAATTAGTTCTGTAACAACAAAGTCTCGCCATCTATGAGTTAGGCACTGTAACATAGCAACAGTACTCCATAAAAACATTTTGTAGTGGTGATACAAAGGGTTCCAACAGGTCGGATACACAACTCTATACACAATAGACTGTGGGTCATTTTAGGTCCATATCATGGGTAATCTTTGGTTCTATTTCAGCCGTAATAATTACAACAAGATTTCCTCTTAAGCATACAGTAGTCAGTAGATACCAGTATGGTTATAAAATTATTTAAGACTTATAGTGTGATTCTTAGGCTCCGTTCGTTTTTCGGTAAGTTACTTACCCAGGTAAGTGCATTTACCCATGTTCTTTTATTTTTCATGTAAATAAGGCAATGACCATTTTAGCCATAAAAATCCATTATTAAAAAGGGCATTTTTGTCCCATTCAAGTGTTGGCAACTTTCCCCCTAGGTGGGACAGGTATCACCCCCCTAGGTGGGACAGCCCAGATTGTGTTGGGATTGAGTTGCTAAACTTGGGATTGAACCTGGGTTGGGCCAGGCCCATGCCCGAGGTAAAAGCATTTCAGCCAAATCTTCAGCCCTTCCAAACAGGCCCTAAATAGTTCTTTTAACATCAGTATCATCACACGGGTCCCTTCACCATTCCTTTATTGGTCCAAGGTGAGCAAATAACTATGTGTAAGAAATGAGAAACCTTGGTTCTGGTTTCATAGCTAGGATGGTTTAATTGAGATTTCTTCTAAACTTGGTATTTTGCTCAAGATCTTTGACCTGTTGACATTAAGGGGGTGTTCTTTTTTGCTCAAGAATCCCATGTTCTTTTTTCAGATTTATGTGGGGACTTTTCTTTCAGATTTATTTTAAGTATGATAAACAAAAAATTGATAGAAATACTTCTTGTTTATCATACTTATTTTTTAATATGATAACACATAATATTAGAATTGTCCAAAATTTTCCACAATTTTTTGTATCTTTTATATTTTATTTACTTTTAAAATATTTATTATTTAACTGTGAGACGACTGATTGTCTCATTTGATTAAGATGGTTGAACTACTTCACCCACCACTCAAATGAAAGGAAGGTTCCGTTTTCATGTTAGTTTTAAACACAGATTTGTATTATGAAAATCATTTAATATAGATTTGATTAGTAGAATTTATTGATGAAAAAGAAAAATACCTCAAAAAATGATCTAATGAGAGAGAATGGGAGTTAACAATCAAATATAGGACTTAATGATATAGAACCCAATGAATTTAATAAAAGTAGCAATTCAAATTATGTTTCAAGTAAGGGTGTTTTAGTAAAAAAAAGTCCACAAAGCTCATTTATTTATTTGAACTAAAATATAGGATTTAATGAGAAGGATTAGGAGTAAATACATTGAATATAGTATTTTTAAATTACACTTTTTTACCCTCATAATAAAGAGAAATCAAATTAAAAATACAGATATTTTAGTCAAGAAAAATTCTGGAATCTAGACATCATTCCCACTTTTAATAGTAGTATAAATATAAATCTTACATAGCCATCTTTTATTGGGCTTTATAGCCTAACTTAGGAGTAGAATTGTAACCAGTCAAGTGGATTTTCATCAATATTCACAAGGGGGGTTTGGTTGGTCAAAGCCTTTTCCATATAATGTCTTTTCAGCATTGGTGGCTAAGATGGTTATTTTGTGTTCCTCTAAATATGGAGGCATGGATCAAACCTGTAAAATTGCAAGCTCTCTATGATAAAGTCAGTGGTGCTCATGTGCACCCTCTAACCCCACCCCGAAAGGGTGATTATTCTTTGCCCGGCCCGGAAACCCGACCTAGCCTAGCTTGTAAGTTTTCCGACCCGGGCCCAGGTTTTTGTGTGCAGGCCCAGACAGGGACCTAGGTCCACTTCAAGTCTGGAAAATTCCAAGCCAGGATTGAGCTCAATACTTCAAGCTCTGCTTGGCCCGCAATATAATATAATATATAATATATAATATAAATATTTTTATATATTACAATATATGCATTATATTTTATATATTATATATACACATATTTTATTTTATACTATGATACACATGCTTTATTTATAAGCAAAATTGAGGACTGAGCTCTATAACATTTCCAATTAAACGATGTCCATCTATCCAATTCAAGTATTATTTTTTGAGTTATGTCTAGTTCATGTGATCATAATCTTTTTTTTTTTTTTGGTATTTGGTGCTATGCACCATTAATAACTCCCCCTGCTCCCTTTTTTCCCCAAAGTGTTGGTTGCGGGATTTGATTCCGCGTCAACATTGGAACAAACCAGCTAATACATCAAAGAGCCAGCCCTCGGTTAGTTCATTTGATCATAATCTAAGTTGCGCTTTAGTGAGTGACCAATTTCCTATACTTTAGATAAATTTATAGTATTTTTATATCTTAATTCTGTTTTTATTGGTTTGTTATTATTTTCAAATTATTTTTAAGTAAATTTATAAAATACCTCCTTTTATAACAATTCTATAAACCACCTTTGTACTTTGACCCTAACAAAAGCCTCCTCTATGTTTTGAAAAAAAAAGTGTAAATACCTCATTTCCCTTGGATTTTCATTTATAAAGACATTGAAATTATCAGAATACCTTTATCATTGTTAAGGCATTATCATACACAATTTAAAGTTTCGACTTTACCCTCCACTAATTTACTTTGCCATACAACTTTCAAAGAGTAATTCTCCCTATTCTTTTCTTGGACAAAGTAAGGTAAAAAGATTGAAGTGAAGTAAAAGGAAGCAAATATTTTTAGTAAATTGGTTAAGGGTAAATTTGATATTTTAAAAATTAATGCATTACATCAACATCTTTTATTTGGACCTTTTTTAAGAACAAAAAAGGAGCTTTTTGTTAAGGTCAAAACACAGGGGAATTTTATAGGATTGTTAGAAAACCCAAGGAAGTTATTGTAATTTCCTTATTTCTAAATGGAATTTAAATTAATTAAACTATATCAATAATTAATAAATTTTTAAGAATTTTTTATTAATCCTTATTAAATTTAATTAACTATATTAAGTTTTTATTTTTCAGTAAAACTTAAGTTGGTTTTAAATTAATAAAAAGTAATTATAAAACTAATAATTGTTAGATAGTTTTGTATTAATTTTAATTGATATTAGTTTTTAATTTATCTTATTCCTTTTTATTAATTAAATTACTTTTATTATATGAGTAAAAATATTTTTATCAATAATAATTAATATTTTTTATTTTATTTAAGTAGCTTGCTAAATTATTTTTACTATGGTTGGTTAATTTTGTTATTTTCAAATGAAACATAAATGGATTATAATTTTTTATGATGTTTTATTTAATGTTTTCAAACTGTGGTTGGCTTGGATAGTTGAACCATTCAAACCATCACTTGACCCTATTTCTAATTCCAGGTTTCCTAAAACCCACCTTGTTCAACCTAGGCGGTTGAACCATTTACCCTTTTGACCCAATCATTGGGTCACAAGTTACAGTATACAATGTATTGAAAATTTATAGGTGATTAAATTTTGTGCTTGGTTGTTTGATTGGGGATGACCTCTTTTTTTTTATTTTATTTTGGATAACTTTCCACAATCTTTGCAGCCCCACTATACCAAAAATAAATAAATTGTTGGCCTCAAATTTCAGTTTTTTGCTCTTATATTTATAAAAAAAAATAAAAATAAATAGACCTTATATTCTACATGTATCGATGGATGATGTGTCATTGTTTCAATTCATCCAACCCAGATAGTTAAACTGTTGACTTGTGACCTATAGGCAAAAACTATCCTCTAAGTTAGTTTTCAAAACATCGATTTTATTTTTTGGGTGAAGTAAATAATATTTATTTTTAAATACATATTACTTGACTAATTAACTTAAAAATTAACTATATTTTAAACGAGCATAAATTGTTTAACCGAATAATATATCATTGAATATCTCCCTTTCAATATAAATAATCTTTATTAATAATTACAATTTAATGTAAACATATCTAATGTATATAAAATTATAGATAAAGTTAATGACTTTTAAGCAATGTAATGGAATAATGGAGAGGAGAGAGAATTAGTGGCATGAATTAAGGAGAGATAATTAAAAGAGTTAATGGGAAAGAGGAGAGAGAGAGAGAGAATGGTGAGTTAATGAGGAGAGCTAAAAGTCTTAAAGGTGATTGCCCACTTAGGTTATTTTGTTCAATTTTAAATTAAAAAAACCATAAAAAAATAAGTATCTTTAAGAAGAAACCAGAAAGTAGGGAAAGTGTCAGCTTGACACATTCCATTTTAATATATAGACATAGATATTTATTATTTTATATAAAGTTTTAAGTTTTATTTTAACATATAAATATATATGTATGAATTTACACGTGTTGACATGTGTCAACACTTAAATCAATGTAAATATAAGATTTGTTCTCTTAAGCAAGGCCTTGTATAGAAGAAGAAGGCAAGGCTTTTATTCTTGTTCCCTAAGCAATGTGGGACCTAGGGAAAACACTCAGTGGTTGCACTAACTAAAAGAAAGGAAATAAAGGCATTGCCTTCATCTAAAAATGATAGGTAAGCCAAGCAATTAAATAAGGCCCATGCCTTATTTTTCGTGCAATAGGCCTAAAGCCTGCTTGTGTATTTTTTTCTTATTTTTTGTATGTGTTACATATTATTTAATTAAAAAATTAAACAATTAAATTTTTATTATACAATGTCATGGGCCTAAAGTCATTACTCATTAGGCCCAGAAAAGCCCATAAGCCTAACATAGGCTGTGTTGGGTCAGGCTTGGCCTTGCAATCTAGGCCCAATGTGTGG